TTTCTGGCCTGTCTTCTTTCCTATCTTTCTTCCTTTTTTATCTTCGTTTTTTTTTCTTAGTCCCTCTTCATCGTCATGATTTTAGTCCGTGTTAAGCCAAGCCTAACGTGACTGGTGCAATATAATCGCAGCGAATCGAACACGGGTTGCCAAGGGGGAGCCCGCCAGCTGAGCAACGTTCGGCCGCGTTCAACAGGTCGTTCTGCCGCTCGTTCTCCTTCTGTCAGACTTTACAATGGCGTTCGCGGGCGCGCTCGTGCTCGCCGCTCGTTTGCGAGGCGCGCAGATTCAGCGCCGGATCGGTTTATGTGACGGCTGCCTAACTAAATCCTGTTCACCTTAACACTTAACTGAGCGTGGCGTAAATCAACGACGGAACTTGCCGCTAACGTCTCGACTTCCCGGAGGGCGACGTGAGCCAGCCAATCAGAAGTCAGATAAGTGATTTGCTGCAATCCCATTGGCTGATATCACGGGGTATTTCCTCGTCGTTGGACTTTCGTGCTTGTCCTCGACGCCAGGTAAATGCCATAATCAAATAAACGCTTCTTTTTTATCTGCCAAATGTTTAAAATGGGAATCTTAGAATATGTTGGGTCAAATTGAATTCAAATAAAAGTTAACTTTCTTGTTTTGATTTGTCTCCTGGCGAGTTACTGACTGGGCTTTGCAGTATCGAGGGTTATTTAATTTTCACAAGTTTTATGTATTTGTCTCCCCTCATTTTTTCCCCTTTTTTGTGGAGGACAATTTTCATTATGATATTCCATTTTTTCATAATGTGGCGCGCTCTTTTTCCCTCTCTTTCCTCTCACACTTCCCCCGTTTTTTTTTTTTTTTTTTTTTTTTTTTTTTTTTTTTTTTTGTCGCCCTGAAAATGAGTTGATTATTTTCCCTTCTTTTTTTCTTTTTCCTTTTTCCATAAGGAAAGAAATGCGGTCCTATTCTTTTACCTTGTCATTTCTGGAATCCCACCAAAAATTAGATCACGACTAAAACTTCATTTTCTTACTCTCCCCCCATACCAAGAAAAAAAAGGAAAATGGAAAAAAAGAATGATAGAAAAAAGTAAAATCTAATATCTCTAAAAGATGTCGACATTAGAGGCGGTGTCCATTATTCCAGCCTTTCTTGGAAATAGTGAGTGTGGAGAGAGAGAGAGAGAGAGGAAGGGGGGGGAGAAAGAGAGAGAGAGAGAGAAGGAGCGAGAAAGAGGTGAGAAGGAAGTGGGAAGAGGGAGGAGGGAGAGGAGAGAGAGAGAGAGTGGAAAGGAGAGACAGAGGGAGGGGGAGGAGGGAGAAGAGAGAAAGGGAAAGGAGGGAGGGGGAAGGAGGGATGAGGAAAAGAGAGAGAGAGAGAGAGGGAAGGAGGTAGAAGGGAGAAGAGAGAGGGACACAGCAGACAAAAGAAGTAAAGAAACGAGAGAGAAGAAAGTCAGAAGTAAACAGATTGAAAGTAAAGAACGAGAGAAGAAAGTCATAGAAGTAACAGATAGACAGATAGAAAAAAGGATAGAAGAAAGAGAGAGAGAGAGAAAAAAAAAAGCGGAATCAGACCCATAAATTACGGAAGTACTAGAAAGAATGAAATAGAGAAAGAAAATAAGAAAAATAGAGAAAAAAATAAAAGCCATGGAAAAAAGAGAAAAACAAAAAAAGAGAAAAATAAGAGGCATGAAAAACAAAGAGAAAGAACAAGGCGCGGAAGAAAGAGCAAGAGTACAAGTTAAGAAAAAATATAAAGAGGCATGAATAAAGAGAAAAATATAAAGAAGCATGGGAAAAGAAAGAGAATAAAGAGAAAAAATAAATAAGAAAAAAAAAGAACCATGGGAAAAGAAAGAGAATGAAGAGAAAAATAAGAAAAAAAATAAAGAAGCACGGGAAAAGAAAGAGAGGAGAGTAAATGGAAGGTTTATATATATGAGAAAGTTGAAAGATCTCTTACTCCCCGAGACTCGCGAAGTCACTTGGGTGGCAAATAGAATTACTCACTAGATGAGCAGAGAAGGCGAGGGGAGAGGAGGAGACAGAGAGGCGAGGCTTCCATTTTTGGGATCATTTTTCCTCCTGTCTTTTTTTTACTTTTTTTATTATTTTTAGTTTTTTTTTTGTTTGTTTTTGTATTGATATTTTGGTGGTTAGTGGTTACTTTTTATTTTTTATTTTTCTCTGTCTCTCTCTTCTCTCTTTTCTCTCTCTCTCTCTCTCTCTCTCTCTCTCTCTCTCTCTCTCTCTCTTCTCTCTCTCTCTCTCTCTCTCTCTCTCTCTCTCTTCTCTCTCTCTCTCTCTCTCTTCTCTCTCTCTCTCCCCATCTCTCTCTCTCTCCACTCTCTCTCTCTCTCCACTCTCTCTCTCTCTCTCTCTCTCTCTCTCTCTCTCTCCTCTCTCTCTCTCTCTCTCTCTCTCTCTCTCTCTCTCTCTCTCTCTCTCTCTCTCTTCTCTCTCTCTCTCTCTCTCTCTTTCTTCTCTCTCTCTCTCTCTCTCTTTCTCTCTCTCTCTCTTCTTCTCTTCTCTCTCTCTCTTCTCCTCTCTTCTCTCTCTCTCTCCTCTCTCTCTCTCTCTCTCTTTTCTCTCTATATAGTATATATATATTAATATATAATATATATATATAATATATATATATATATGTCTCATATATCATTTTTTGTTTCATTTTTTTTTTCGTCCTCTCCCACAACTCCCTTTTTTCCTATTCCTAGTCTTACTTTTCATATGGTGTGCTATTTCTTTTCTTTCATCTAAGTATACCTTCTTCTTCTTCTTCTTCTTCTTCTTTTCTCCTCCTCCTCCTCCTCCTCCTCCTCCTCCTCCTCCTCTCCTCCTGCCTCCTCTCCTCCCTCCTCCTCTCGTCTTTCTACTCTTCTACCTCTCCTTGCGAAAGAAATTATTTCTATCTCTCAAAGAATTGTGTTATCACATTAAAGATTTTCTTATATAAAGACGTGGCACCATTCTGTGTAGTGAAAAGCCTGGCGCTCGTGATGTTTATATATTCACACTGACTGAACACTGCCTCATGTAAATACAGGGAATATGTAAGAATATTTGTAGTTTGGACCGTTACTAATGAAAAAAAGTTACTAATGTTGTTCTTATTAGTGTTATTATTTTCTTTATTGTAATTATCATCATCATCTTCATTATCATCGATGTTGTATTTATTAGTGTTATTATTTTTTATTGTAATTATCATCATCTTCATTATCCTCATTATGATTCTCATCATTATCATTATCATCACCGTTTTTATGTTATTATATTTTTTATCGTTATTATTTCCATTATCATTATCATCATTATTTTTTTTTTCATTATCGTTGTTGTTGGTGGCGTTTCATTATTATTATAGTTATTATCATCTTTATCATTATCACGATCATTATTTCATTGTCATTGTTTTCATTATCATAATATCTTGCTATCATGATTATTATATTATTATATTGTATTATTATGATGGTGATTATCATTATTATTTTTATCACTTTTATTATTGTCATTAGTAGTGGTAATAGTATTGTTATTTTCATTATTACTATTATTATAATTTTTTTCGTTATTATCATAATCATTCTTGCTGTTATTCTTTTGTTATTATCATCATTATTATCGATTTTGTTGTCACTATTACTATTTTATTGCCTACTGTTCTACTGTTAATATCAGTATTTATACATTTATTATTATCACAGCATCATTATTTTCTCTATAATCATTTTCATTGCGATTATCACTATCATTATCATCACCATCACCACCATTATTACCTTTTTATGATTATATTAACTTACGATACTGCTGTGATTATGATTATTATTTTGTTGTTAATTTTTATTATTATTATCGTCTTTATTACTGTCATAATCAATATTTCCGTCAGCATTATCATTCCTGCAGTAGTCATTATCATCATAATTAGTATTGTTGTTATTATTGACATTATCATTATTTCAATAAAGAATAATGATAATAGTAATGGTGATAAAAAAAAAGAAGAATAATGATAATGATAAGCATAATTATGATAATAATAATCATAATTATCACGATAAGTAGTTGAATAATGATAATAATGACAATAATCGGAAGTGACTACTGGTACGGCAGAGAAGCCCCCGGTTGGTGTCCTGCGCATGCGTGGTGAAATAAACAAGATGGAGATTCTAACGAGGTGGATATCATTCTGC